TTTTTTTATGAAGTTGAACTTGGGGCGACATTTTCCTCCCATTCTAACCACAACCTTCCATCGTATCCCTGGTCAGAACGCTCAGTGGTGGACTGAGACCATTACGTTTTTCTTGTAGCAGGCGGGAGGGGTTGTGGTTCACGTTGGGCCACTAGGTTTTGGGAACAATTGCTACTGGAGTCTTGGTAGTCCCGCCTTTGAGACCACAAGCACTCCTCCTCCAGCTTTGTCTTTGTGCTCAGTGAGCTAGCGTCTCTCAGGCTACGACACTCGTTCTGTCAGGTGTTTGCTTCTATCGAAGACATCTCCACAATTGTGCCCGGTGTCCTGTGAGTATATAGGCAGCACAAAAAATACAAGGGACTTGAAAAAGGAAACGAATGATAAAGTTATAAAAGAGCAACTTTATCTAAGCTCCACCTTGTCAAAACACTTCTGTAAGCCTTTTAGTTCATCTCGAAAGAACTGCGGGGCCTAGGAATCTAACCATGTGAAAGAAGTCTTCTGGACATTATGAAGAAACTTGCATTCCACAGTCAAGTTGTAAAAGAGAGATGCTTCGGTTTACTGTCATTTTACAATGACCTCCAAAGTATTTCTCAAAATAATTTCTCAACCTCATTAATGCTTTCCTAGAAATAGGTACTCTTGGCTCATGATCTTGTCTGACCACTCCATAGACTCACTGCACTGAATTAAGTCTTATGGAAAACATACCAAACAGCTGTACATCTTTGTTCCATGTATGCACTATAGCATGTAATTAAATATATACTTTTTGTTATAGATTATTAGCCATATTTTTTTTCTGATTCCCCCAATCCAATAATTTTACTATATTTTGGTAATAAGGTATTTACAGTACCGAGAGGTTCTAATGGGGCAACATAGTATATGGCATAAATTACTCTTGGTCTAGGAGTTTATAACAGGATGAAACTATATTCCAATATCACTGTATTATAAGGGAAAATTTGCCTTAAAAACTATGGCAATGGCCTGCACTGAAGTGTGGGAAGAAAAGATGAGAACTTATGTTTTTCACGGTTTTTATTTTTTATCAAAGCTTTCATAAGGTTTGTAATTTTAACACAATATTGCATGTATAGAATCTTTAAAGTAATAAATACACATGCATTGGGGTATAAGCTCAGATTTTCTACTGATATGTGCAAGATCAAAAAAGTTTTGGAACCACTCTCCTGTGATACTATGACTCAAATG